AAGAGAATTCGCTGCGTGAACTAAAGGCCATACCTTCGGCGGCCTATAAAACTTGTATGGAAAATTGGATCAAGCGTTAGCATGCATGGTATTGCCGCAGGAGGAGAGTACTTTGAAGGCGATAATAAAGAAAATTATTAAAAATTAAAATTTTATGTTTTTTCAACTTCTCATTCTTTTTTGATCATAAGGTATAATCTAATAGTTAAAGACACGTTCTTATCAAAACAATTTTTCCATTTGTTGAAATATGAAAATCATAAAATTTGGTCGTTAGGCCACTAAACCAAACCAAAAAGCTGTTTCAAAAATTTAACCGATCCGATTTGATTTCAATATAAACAACTAAATTTACGTTTTTAATTCTCACAAACTCTGCGTAAAATCTGTTTAAGCTTCAGTAAAATGAATATTTTTTAGTTGTTATTATTTATCGTCCTATAGTTCGTCTACCTTTACAACACTCAACGTTCATTTAGGTCAAAAAATATGTGGCATTAAAAATTTATGCTACTTTGAATTTGAATGTAAAACTTGAGATTCAATTTGTTTAATTACAGAAACGTGCAAACCAGAAGAGACTGGCGTAATTGTTAAATTCATATAAATTGAAATAAAAGTATTTTGAATCAATGTTTTGAAATAGAGAAATTGTGTGAGTAACTTGTTTTCAAAATGCTAAATTTAACAATTATTAAGTGTTAAAGAATAACGAATATTTTTTGAAAAACCATGTACAAATAGAAACATAATACCTAAAAACTACAGATAATTTATCTGTTGCATTGCCTTGCTAAAGAAATACCGGCAGAAGCCTTTACATATTCACTCTCCATCAAATTTCAAGAAGTTTCATAAGCCTTTTTACAAAAAACTTTAGTTCATACACTAACGATATGAATAAATGAAATTTGATAATATATTACAAAGAATGATAAATTCATATCACTTAATAAATGTTCAGTCTAAACCATATATGACATCACTACTGACAAACCTACGTATATGATTTGTGGACACTAGCATCCTTCAAATGATACATGTTAAAATTAGTTTACAGGTTACAGTCGTTTTGTTAACTCCATATTTAGTATTTATTATTTGATGGGAAAAATAACAATAATGGCTTGATAGGCGTTAATGACACTACACCATTGAAATAAGCTATCATTGACAAGTATGGTGAATTTAAAGTCCATGATGCTGTACATTCTGGCTGCTCAAAATAGACAGTAGTTCCGGAAGTCATAAAAAAGGTCTACAAAAAAGCTTTATAATATTGTTAAGTAAAGTTGGTGAGATAACTGATATCTTAAAAATATTACAATGTGGTGTGTTTACAATTTGCTTAGTTTTTGAGTTACTATACACTTTCATACCAGTTAAACATACATTATTCATTTTGTTTTAGTTCTTATAGTATGCGAATGAAAGGAAAAAAACGATAGTCAATTTTGTTTCTCTTATTTATTCTTACATTTTTATATTATTCTATATAATTATTCTATATATACTATAGAATTATAATAATCATTTTTATATACCGAAACCTAAAAAATATATAACTAATAGTAAGATTTTGGACAAAAAGGTAGAACGAATATATTAAACAAATTAAATGTTACATCACGTTTTGAGAGAGCACTTAATAGTGTGACAGGATAACTTGACAATCAAATCAATCTGTAAAAAAACACCTTTAAGAAAAATTTATAAGCTTTGTACTAATAAAGAATCGTTCTTGCGAGCCTAATTCATCTTTTTAAAATATTTTAAATTAGTTGTTATCTAAATATTATTGAATTGCTGCAGACCTTAAAGAATCTTCGTCCTTTAGTGTTAAAATATTTTTTATATACATTTAGTATTAGTAACCCAAATTAAAAATTTGCATTTTTATTTTTATTTCAGAGTCTGGGCATTCTTGCTTCCATACCCGCCGGTCTACTTATACTCGCTCTTTGTGGTCTATTACTTTATTTGTTAACTCGGTGTTGTGACCGTAAACCACGTAAACCAAGCACACAAAGATGTCAGAGCTGTTCATTAGTTATAATTACGTTGATGACGTGCGCTGCAATTGGATTAGGTAAGTAAGATAGTTTATAAAAATAATGGTTATTAGTGCAACAAAAAAACAAGATTATGAAATCATAGCAAAAATTATTGATTTAGAAGTTAGTGAACTAAATGGGTATATGATTGCAACTAATTAGCTGCAATGCATTTATTTATTAACCTGTTAATATGATACTTTACGATACGATACGAAGGAGGTTACTTACACATAATGTTTTTGCATATTCATTTTTTTAAACGATTAATTTCGAATTTCTTGTTTAATGGAATAAATAATATTGCTATTATATATGAATTGTTGTTATATTAAAATTTGAATTTAAGGATAATTTACAATTTTATATTGTAGTTTCTTTATGATGCAATATCAATATACCATTTGATCAAAAAAGAATGCGAAGTTAAAAAAACACAAAATTTTAATTTTTGATAATTTTCTTTATTATCGCCTTCAACGATAATAAATTTATGCCAACGCTTGATCCAATTTTCCATACAAGTTTTATAGGCCGCCAAAGATATGGCCTTTAGTTCACGCAGCGAATTCTCTTTTGTTGTCTCTATGGTCTCAAAACGCATTCCTCGCAATGGCAATTTGAGTCAGGGAAAGAGGAAAAAGTCACACGGGGCCATATCTGGAGAGTACGGTACTTGGTTGATGATATTGGTGGAGTTTTTGGCCAAAAACTACGACACAACTAACGCTGTGTGAACCGGTGCGTTATCGTGGTGTAAAATCCATTAGTTTTCCTTCCATAAATCTGGCCTCTTTTTGCGAATGGCCTCACGTAAACGACGCATAACGGTCAAATAATACTTCTATTGACCGTTTGACCATTTGATCGTCCGGAAGGAATTTATAGTGCACCACACCACGAATGTCGAAGAAAACAGTCAGCATAACCTTGATTTTGGACCGACTTTGGCGTTCTCTTTTCGGTTTCGGCTCACCTTCGAACGGCTCACCATTCGGTCGATTGTTGTTTGGTGGTCAAATTGGCATGTCAAATTCATAGACCCATGTCTCATCACCAGTTATGATGCGTTCGATGAATGTGGGGTCACTATCTAACGTATAGATTAGTTTTTATTTTTCTTTTTATTATTATATAGTAGTTTATATCGAAATTTATTTCACTTCTTTCTCAGTCCAAAAGATTATAATTCCTCTTGAAAACATATAGGGCGGTTATTTTTATAGGAATCTGTTTACAATTTTAATTATACTGTCTTATAATAATATGCACGAAATTAATAATTTCGTTGATAACTAAAACTGAATACATTCTGCAGTTTGTTCATCAGTAATATATTTTCTACCGTTGTATATTAGAACACTATAGTTTTCCAAATTTTTTTGTTTTTAATAATTACACATAAAACTCCATACTCAAAAAAAATTTTGCCATATTTTAAAACTAAAAACACTGAAAACATTTTTTCACATATAATTTTAAAGTGCTGAAGTATGTTTTACTTTTTGCTGTTTTGCTTATATCCTGCTTATTTATTTACTTTACTTCTTATTTACAAATGGGTGTCCTGGCAATTATCCAAAATTCCTATCGTTTTCATGACATATTTTTGTGCGATTTTGCCAAAAAAAAAACTCAAAACAATAATTTAAACAAATATAAAACTCGTAGTATGCCATAGTCTCTTACTGCTTCCCAACGACAATACAAGCATTTTTCATTCCGTGTAGTTATGGGTTTTAAGAAATTCTTTATTATTTAATATATTAAAATAAACTATTTAAATTATTCTAAGAAAATATTTAAGATAAATATACGCTTTTATATTTTGATATTGTCTTTTTTATCGAAACACTTAAAAAGTTGATTCAATTTCATTATAAAGACTAGTATTATTTAAAATTGTTTAACGTATTAATTTTTTTTTTAATGTATTCAATAAACACAAATTACAATTGCAAAACTACAAATGAACTCATATATTTAATATTGTATTTGAAGGAGTATAACCATAACATATGTTATACACAGCAGAAAAAGTCTGCGTTCAAATACAAAATTTTTCTGATTTATTTTAACCAATCAAACAACAATAAAGTTCTTCTTTAAAAAAAAAATTAAACACAATTAAAGTCTCTATTCTCTTCTTAGTATTAGCGTTTACCGTCAATTTAAATTCGCTTGAATGCATGTGTCATTAAATGATCTTTAATTATCAATTGACTTCTTAAAGAGTCTAATAAATAATTATTTAAAAATATTTTATTTAAATAAATAATACATTTTTACAATGGAACATAAAAGACGTGAAATTAGTATTAGTGAGCAACAAATAACTGTTCAATTTTGAAAAGATGACGTAAGCCAACGAAAAATTGCTGAAAATATTGGTTGTCAATATTCATCTGTGCGGAGAGTTATGAATAACTTCCAGGAGACGGGTAATTACGTTTCTAAACCTCGTACTGGTCGCCTCTTAATTCTGTCAGATAGAGAAAGACGTAGCATAATCAACCAGGTAAAAGTAAATCCAAGAGTAACAGCCTCCAAACTAGCAAAACATACTGCCGAAATACTTAAAAAAAGAATATATCCTGATACTGTGCGGAAAATTTTGAAGAAAAGCAAGTAGGAGGACGGTTTGATATTTTATTTTTCTACATAATCACATTTTAGCTCGATACATTTAGTCCAGCGTTTTTCTAATTTTCTTATTTCCTCCAAATAATAGGTTTTCTCAAAGCTCTCAAAATATGCGTTTGTTTCGGTAATGACTTCTTCATTCAACTCAAATCTTTTACCGCCCAGCCATTTCTTTAGGTTTGGAAACAGAAAATAGCCGCAGGGGGCTAAATCTGGAGAATATGCTGGATGGTGTAGAAGTTCGTATCCCAATTCGTGGATTTTGGCCTTCGTGACTAGGCAAGTGTGCACACGTGCATTGTCTTAATGGAACAGCACTTTCTTCTTCGCCAAATGCGGTCGTTTTTGCTTTAAATGAAAGTCGAATCTGTTCAAAAGCTTTGAATAATATTCGCCGGTGATCGTTTTACCTTTCTCGAGGTAATCGATGTGAATGACACCGCTTGCATCCCAAAAAACTGTGGCCATGACTTTGTTGGCTGATAGACTCTGTTTGACCTTCTTTGGTCCACGTTCACCCCTAGCAACCCACTGTTTCGATTGTTCCTTGGTCTCTGGCGTGTTGTGATGGATCCATGTTTCGTCCACAATAACAAAACGGCGCAAAAATTCGTTCGGATTACGGCTGAACATCGCTAAACACTTTTTTGAAGTGATCACACGATTGCGCTTATGATCGAGTATGAGCAATCGCGGCACCCATCTCGCGGAGAGTTTTTTCATGTCCAAATATTCGTGTAAAATATGATGTACCCATTCAGTTGAGATACCTGCAGCATGAGCCAGCTCACGCACTTTCATTCTCCGATCATCCAATATCATTTCATAGATTTTATCGACGATTTCCGGCGTGATCACTTCTTTTAGGCGACCTGAACGTTCGGCGTCACTAGTGCTGGAACGACCACAACGGAACTCTGTAAACCACTTCTTAGCCATTGAAATTGATAGTGCCGAGTCCCTGTAGTATTTATCAAGTCTTTCCTTAGTTTCAGTGATGGATTTTTTACGTAAAAAGTAATGCTTAATCTGCACACGAAATTCACTTTTTTCCATTTTGCTTTGAATCAATCAATCAAAAGTAGAAAAGTTGTGTAAGAAAATCATGTACAGTTTATGATGAACAAAACTTAATTTCAAAGGTGAAACATGGTGATGGAGGCATAAAAGTTTGGGGTGAACAGCAGTAATGGTGCTTGCAAACTTGAATTTATATAAGATACAATGGATAAATATGGGTATCTAAATATCCATACAACAAATTTGAAAGAAAATGACAGAATGTTAGGGCTTGAGGCAACCTTTTTGTTTCAGCATGACAACGGCTCTAAGCATACATCAGCGGTCGTCTGGATTTGACTGCTGAATCATGCTCCCAGAAAATTTCAAACGCTACCAGAATAACTCTATTCACCAGCATACGATTTCTAGCAAGGATATGTTAAGAAACGCCATTAAGGAATACTGTCTTTAAATAAACGCATAGGATACTGCAAAGCTGACTGAGTCTATGCAAAGGAATTCCCGCAAAATTAGCGCCCCATCAGCATACTTCCTATTCTGGGGAAAGTAGCTGAGAAATTTATAATAGCCAAACTGAATTACCTCACCTACCCTTGCATGCAAAGTTGTGTGCTTAATAAAGCAGAGTAGAAAAATTGTTGCAGTTAGTCCGTCCAATCAGTACCAAATAACTCTATTTAATCTATAACTCCTTTCGTAGACATAAACTTGGTGGAGCTATGTACTGGATGGTGGAGCTATGTACCCGGTTTAAGTAATAAAAACGCATTTTGTTTTGGAAAATTATCAGCTTGACACACTGAGTCCAACGATCTTTCAGCATTTGTATACCTTATAGAGAATACGATTTATCAAGTCCTCCAAAATATACATGTTTCCCATTCCACTTTATCATTTGATGCAAATCTCTGTCTTTGGAGCCATCGTTTCAAGTTTGGAAACAGGTAATAACCAATGGGAGCCAAATCTGAAGAATACGGTGGGTGAGGAAGCAGTTCTCTTCATTGACGTATGATCGGGTGTGTTATCTTGCAAAAACAAAGGCAATCATTTTTTCTTAATTTTCTCATTTAATCGATCTGATGTTATTGCTTTTACTTTTTCCAAATAGTCTATGAAAATGATTCCACTTAAACATCAAAATATAGAAACTAAAATTTTTCCAGCCGGTTGTGGAGTTCATGATCGTTTGGGATCACTGCTCCCGGACTCCATTAATTCTGGCTTGTTGTTATCTTTCAGGTGTAAAGCAATGGATCGACTACTTGACTCTACTCGCTCACAGTCGACTAGACTGTATATAAACATTTCCAAAGAATGTTTTGAATGACGAAAACACGGCACCCATATTGCCGCAAGCTTTTTCATACCCAAATATTAATGTAAAATATTCGATACACGTTCATATATGTTTGTCATCAAACATATCAATGCACTTAGTATACATTTGCTCTAATATTAGAATGTTTTCTATATAGTTTTGCCTACGCAAAATATTTTGTGTTCGCTATTAGTGATCACAAATGAAGTAATAAGTTCGATAGTTTTTCTGTTTGCAGAGACATATTTATACCCTGGGGTCTACCATGAATGACTGCCGATTCGATCAGTTTTGGCATTCGTAAAAATTTCGTGTGAGCGCCATTGTTTGTTAACCAAAAAATTTGTGTTTTTTTATTCTTTTTGTGTTTTGAAATTATGCTTTTGGTGTATGTTGTTATTGTAAATATTGTGAATGTATGTATTTTGTTTGTGTTCTTGAATATTATTGGGGTTTTTGATTGGTAAATCTGGGGTAACTTTTTCAATCAATATTCACTTTAAGTGCAATTTTCATTTTCGATTAGTAAATCCTTATTACACTGGAGATTAATGTGTAACACTCTAGATATTTTACACGGGTAGCAAAATTACCCTAAAATGAACAGCTGTTTTATGTGATTGAATGATAAAAAAGTGTGATTTGTTTCCACATGTGCACAATATACGATAGAAACAGCTTACAGTATTATATAGGCAGTAATGCCCTAAGTTTTTGTAGTAATCCAGCGTGTTAAACCTAAGCGAAGGCTTTCGATACATCTAGAAAGACGACAGAGCACACTTTCTTTTCTTGTATCATTGATTCAATAGCATTTACAACTATGTGTACAACTATTAACCAATATCAATGTTTACTTTATTTAATACGACTTCAAGTTCATTTTATGTTTAGTTAAACCATTCGCATTCTATTAGAACAGTTTCAAACAATTAATTAATTATTAATTAATAGTAATAACGCGTTGTTTTCACATGTGTTTGTTTGTTTGTTTATATATTTAGCTGTCATTTTGAAAAAACCAATAAAATCAAAATATCGCATTTAGTTGCAAATACATTGTCATCTGACGACAAATCTTCAGATGAAGACATATTTTTCAGGTTGATACCATTTGAATTAGATAGTACTGCATTTGCTAAAATAATGAAAGAGCGTAGAATTAATGTGGGTTGGGATAGATGCATTGCTTAAGAGAGTTTTAACGTAATGAGGTGTTTTAAGTGTTGGGGCTTCAATTATAAAGCAAATGCCTATAAAGAAAACGGAGTGACCTGTGCAAAATGCAGCGAAATTGGGCACACTCATAAAGAATGTGTAAACAGCATTGTAAATGTATAAACTACGTCAAGATGATAAAAACTCGTAATTTATATGGATCTTGATTGCAGGAATATGAACTGTAAAACGTTACAACGAAGACTTAAATTTGAGGCAGATAAAATTAATTATCAATTATTAAGACCTTAATAAACATTCTTTGTGCTCAAAATAGTAATTTCAATATTGTTCATTTTAATGCTATGAGCCTAATGGTCTTTAACTTGATCATGTAAAATCAGTGTTTGAAAACTCCAGTTTGCATTTCTTTAACATGGTTAGATAATGAGATCAGTAGTTCATATTTTTCTATAAAAGGTTATGTTTTATATCGCCACGATAGGACAAACAAAAAAGGTGGTGGAGTTGCAATTTATTGCAAATCTTATTTAAGTAGTCAGTTAATATGTACTTCGGATGAATCTGATGAAATCTGAATCTGATTTATTTGTGTGTCTATCAGAAGTCATAGTAATAAAATTTTAGTTTCCTGTGCCTACAATCCACATAACCGATTCTCATGCGATCCATTCTTTGATTCGCTTCTCTCAGTTGTACATATATATGATTTTATCGCAGTACTTGGTGATTTTAAATATGACTTTTTAGTGAATTGTAGTAAAGTTCTGAAACTAAAAGATTTATTAGCCATGATGGGCCTAAGTATCATCAACGAAATTGAATCAACTAGATACTGTAACAGTGTACGACTTAGTCTTCTAGATATAGTTGCTGTACCGAATCCTAATTCCTGATATATGTGTTTCTGATGAAAGCTTTAATTTTATAGGAGTTAGTGAAGAAATGGTCTGTTAAAGTTTGAAGAATATTAAATCAAATGCTTTTGGATTGGATGACCTTCCTCTTAAATTTCTAAAGCTCACTTTGCCGTACATAATACCTCCTATTACGCATACAAATAATACATTGTATAACTACATCAACCTTTCCATGGAAAAAAGTTAAAATTATTCCAAGTCCGACATATTAGTATTCTTCCATCACTGTCCAAAGTTTGAGAACTTATAATGGCTAATCAAATTAATATTCACCTTGAGCGTTTCCAACTCATAGTTGCTCTACTCCCATGCTCAAAGTTTTAGAAGATGTTCGACCTAGCTATGATAATGACATTATCATATTTTTATGTCTTTTAGAGTTCTCTAAAGCATTTGATCGTGTTAATCACTTCATACCATATAGGAAATTAACTGATTATTTTTCATTCTCATACTCTGCCTCTAAATTTATATATAGTTATCTAACAGGGAGATCGCAGACTGTTTTTTCTGCTGATAAATATTCGGATTTTAAATCATTGCCCATTGGTGTTCCTCAGGGGTCAATCCTCGGCCCACTGCTTTTTTCAATATATATAAATGATTTCACCATATGTAAATATTCCAAATTACATGCATATGCATGTAATTTGATGATATTCAAATGTATCTTTCTAGTACAATTGGTTTTTTAGGTGACAGTATTTGTAAGCTTACTGATGACTTAAATAGAATTAATGCATGGGCAGTAGTAAATAACATGCTGCTTAATACAGATAAAACAATTATTCTGCCTATTGCGAGGAAAAAAATTATAGTGGAAAAATTGCCTTTAATTTTAATCGGCAGTACTATAATTGATAATAAATGATCAGTAAAATGCTGAGGTTTTTACTTGAACTCTAGCTTGAATGCCCGTGACCATTTAAATCAAGTTTTTCGGAAATCAATTGTATCACCTAAATGTATGTACTCCAATGAATCTTTGATGTACATTAGTAAAGCAATTAATAATGCATATAATTATATATTTTAGTCTGGTCTACAGCAAACTTGACTCAGACTCCCTATACAAATTAAGAGCTTTAGTGAACTGCCTGACAAGGTATGTCTATGGACTCAGGCTTTTTGATCATTTAACTGGCTACAGGAATAATATTTTGGGATGTGATATTGAACAATATATTAATAAATATGTTTGCATATTTTTGTTTAAAATTGCTACGACCCAATTGCTACCCAGGGTGTACCTTTTTAATAATCTATGTAAATTGCATTCAAACAGATCTATTCAATATTTAATCCCAAGGTTCAACCACTTTTCTGCGACTAGTTTCTTTTTCATAAATGCGGTAAGACTCTGAAACTCGGTATCTAGCGATACTAGAAACGCAAACAACTTAGTGTGCTTCAAAAAGTTAGTTTCTCAGGAACTGTCTTAGCTTATTATACAATCTTATGTTATTTAATATTGTTTTATTCTAATTTCTTATTTT